AATTCAGAGTGATGCTATAAAAAAATACCTACCTAATATTTTTTTGTCTAGTTTCGAACTTTTATGTTTTTTGGAGAAAAATTGTACAGAAAAATTGACCCAGTTCAACTTGAAAATTTCAAATACGACCCTATACATATTGACACATATGTTTTTACGCTGAAAAGAATGGTGCAGTGGATTTTAAATTGGTCAAAAAATGACATGGTGACTGGCGATAATTGTCGAAAATTTAAGTTTTTTTTTAATTTTTCGACTTTTTTCGACTAAATTGCTTATAAAATTCAGGATTTCGTACTGTAAAAAAATATGGTTGTGCCACCTGAAAGAACATTAAATTTTTGGTAAGGAAACCTATTTACGTTGCAGAATGATGAAAATATTCTTCGCGAAAAATTCAGAAAAAACAAAAATGTTGAAATTTGGAATTTTTGTTGAAAATGTTGGATTAGTTATTAAGTACAAACTCCTGGAGCCTTGCAAAATCCTTCCAAAGTTTTCCATCCAATTAGCTCCCACCTTTTAGGATTGCGCTTCTGCAAGGCCCACAAATTTTGCGTTTTCTTGAAAAAACTGGTAACGATGGAGGGCATGCTCAATTTTTCCAGGAAATTCGTTTGGATCCTGAGTTTCGTGCCAGTTCTTTATTGTTACATTCAATCAGTTTGCTTTATGTTATCAGCTGACATCGTCCTCACGTTGGTGATTTAAATTATGCCTATGTTTCATAATAAACATCTTGCTTATATGCATTTCATTTACGGTTACTGCAACGGTAATGCTACTGCTGCAAGAAGAGTATATCAAGCTCGTTTTCTACATCCAGATGTTCCAGCAAATCGCCCCTTCCAACGACTTCATCAGTGGCTGAGGCCTCTTTCAAAAAACTGGTTCTTTCAATCGAAGAAAGAGGGAAGGCAATCAGCGAATTGATGTAGAATTAGCTGATTGTCTTCCCTCTCTCTTGCCGCGGAGTTCATAGGTTTCTGTAGTATTGTGCCCAACTCTGCTGTGATATCAGAACAGTCAAGAGAACTGTAGTCTTAGAGTGTCTCTAATCTCAAGTGAGGAAACCAACTGCTTTCATAATTCGATTGGCAACATGTTCTTATGTAGCTTTAGGTGTTACTGCGCATGATCCATTTTCTTTGTCACGTTACTCACTTCCAAGTTCCATGAAAGAGTTTTACTAACTGTAACACTTAAGCACTTCTCAGAATCGACATAAGGCAAGTCAGTTTCAAGTACCTTTATTCCACTCGGCCATTCATTATCTAAGGTGTTAACATATAGTTTTTCATTTATTATTTCACAATTTTTCCAAATAATAAGACCATAGGGCATTATCCGTTGACCATATATTAATGTAATGGGTACTATATTTAACTATTGCGATTTACATAGATCATTTTAGTAAGGCCGTTGCTCAAAAATTGTAGAAATTATCAAACCAGGCTTTGAAAGAAGCACATGCCCGCCATTTAATATCACTTAACCTATTTTAAAACAATCTGTATCATATGGATATGTGGCAACTTCGGTTTGATTCTGGCCTAATGCCATGTTTTCATAAACCAGTAAAGGTGAGTAATCCACAGGGTTATCGATGTTTTTGAAAATATCAATTAATTTCTCTCTTGGCGTGTCATCATGTTTTACGCTGGCATGTGAAAATTTGCAATTGTGGAACAATGATAGTTGCTTTCAGGTTTGATTAAACACGCTGAAATTAATTAACTTAACGTTGGATATATAATGATTTTTTCTCAAGGTTTGATATTTGTCATAATTTTTGATTTATATCTTTCCCAACACCCCTTCTCAAACCGATATCACAATTATTGCGAGATTTTTCTATGTAGTCTATGAGGTAAAAGCACCGCCTATCATTTTGGCCCACTGGAGGAAATCGCGAGTTATTTGGCACTTTAGTGGTCAGGATTGTCGGAAAGGATTGTGGTGAAAGATAGAGGATAGATTGGATAGGAAGTAGGAATGTTGCAATGGTTGCAAAGATTTTGGACTGAAACGATTGGATTGTTTGGCGGATATAGGTTAAATGAGACGTTCACTTTACACCAAGTTTCTTCTGTCATGATTTTTGAGAAGTTTCTGTAGCCTGTTCCATTCTTTTAGGTCATTTTGGGAGATACAAGTCAGTTGCTTATGTATAATCCAAAATGTCAGACAACATGTATAAAGAGAGAGGAACAGCCTTGAAGTATGTTAATTAGATTAGTGAACGCAATTTTGGATTTTGTTTCGCTGAGTCTGATCCTCTATTTTTAAATAATAAAACTTGTTCATTAAATATATTTGGTTCACAATGATATCTAGTTTCATTAGATAATAATATCACAAACTTGAGTTTGGTCGAGTTCTCAAGATAGTTATGAAACTAACCGAACTGTTTATAATAACGGACTTTTTAACGAGATATCAAACTAGGATTTCGCATTCGACTGAGTTAGATTGTACAGGATGACGTGTTGACAGTGTTATCTCGTCTTTGCAAGTTCGGCGATGGCTGGAAACGGGCGAAGAAGTGGGATGGGTGGAACTAGGGCCCACTATCTTTCCAGAGATGGCTCTATCTGAGAAGGGGCGCCAAGATATCCCCCGTTCCAATGCTTCCTAATTACATCCCATCAGCTCTTCCTCACTTGACCAGTCTTACTTATCACAAGTTAAGATTGAAAGCCTTGTTTTGAAAAAGAAAATAAGCCCCGTATCTGAGGATGGAAATAAACCCTAATTAGCACTTTTATCAAGATTTCAAGGCGAAATTGAGGGTTCTATAATTTACAGAGCATAGGATCAAACAAGACTTTAAAACTTATTTTCAATAAGTTTAAGGCCAATGTCTTCAATTAATAATTAAATTTTCACATTTAAAAATTTTTATAAATAAGTCGAGAGAACTTTAAATCACTTATAAGTTTTTTTACGGGGGTTCGCAACAGCAGAGGTTTTATCAACCCTCGGGGTGCCGGTGTTTTTGAAAAAAGCCCATTTGTAAGTATGTCGGGTTCGAATGCAGGGCCGCTGGACTCGAACCCGGGACCTATACCTTACAGTGATGAGCACCGTTTCAACGCCTAAACCGTTTCGGCCACCGACGCCCCCTGAAAGTCTTTTCACCCTAAAACGTTTCATTCGATACTGAAATCGGTCAGAGGCTAATGTCTAGGACTCTAGTGTCTACGCCTTTGTCAACCGATTTGTTAATAATCGCTTTATCTAAGGCTCACAAGGACTCGTTTTCCGAGGTTCTAAACACAACCATGTCAGCAATGAACCGGTTCCTCGTCCTCCCATATTCTCAAAACTCAGGGTCGTTTCACAATAAACATTGAGAAGATCGTCCGGTATCTCTCTTCCTACATAAAAAAGGTCAAGAACCCAATCCTTCATGCAGAAGACAATCAGTACGCACCCGCCTATCACGGAAACAAATCCAAGGAGACCGCCCGAAAAGCAATGGCAAAGCAAGTTAGCAAAACAGCGGAGGAAAAACAAATGAGCACTTTGCTGATTCATGAATGGTTTTCATAACACCTCATATGAATCCATACAAAGCTTTTCGAGGTTCACAGCCACGTCAGTAATGATGGGAGGTCCACGTCCTCCCAGTTCTTCAAAAATAAGATTTGAGAAGGACCGTCAAGTCATGCTTTACATAGATCTGAAAAATGGGTCAATAAGCCTAACGCCCATCCTACATAAGAGACGACCATCATCATCATCATGTCCAGTGATAAAAGAGTTATTGTCAAATAGTACATAAGCCACAGTAATGGTAGAGCAGGTTAGCAAAGCCACGGAGGAAGAAATATCACTTTGCCTCTTCATGCATGGTTTTGATAACACATGAATCTATACATGGCGAGGTGTCATCATCCGAGTTCACGTACACAACCACGTCAGTAAGGAGTTGGGCGCCAACTTACGTCCTCAAAAACCCGTCTCATTTCACAATAAACGTTGAGAATGTGATCCTCATGTCTTACTCCACCTACATAAGAAAAAGTTCGTCAATAAGCCTAACATCCGTCGAACAGAACACACGAGAAGATTATCCAATATCCACACCATAAGCCACCCTATAAGCAAATCCACGAAATGGCAGGTTAGCCATGCCTTTGATGACAACACTTTGCTGGCGCTTGGATGGTTTGAGATAAAATCTTACATGAATGCAGCAGCAAGGAAACAGAGCATATATCCTTCGACTCATTTTAACGTGGATAATGGACCTCACTTGAGGACTAGCCAGATAATACTTAAGGTCTATGCTCCTTTTCTGAGTTGCTTCATCCAAGGCGCACGGGGTTTTCGTTTCCAAGGCACTCTCTTTATCAATGGTACCACGCCCTCATACGTCTCTCCATCCAAGGTTCGTAACGCGGTTGTACAGGAGTCAGTGGGTCCGAACCAGTCAGAGTTAAAGTTTGAGTGAGAATTGAGTGAGAGTGAGGTATAAGTTTAAGTTTAAGTCAGTCACGTGATACGGTAGTTGTCTACTCGAGTTCATCAGGTGTTAAACGATTCACCTCCTTCACTTTACGGCCCAGCCCGGCACGTTTCCGCCCACGCATGATGTAAAAAATTGGTTCTACTTTGTCACTTTTACATACAAATTTTGATTTATTCCTTTATTTATAGTTTGAGCTGATTTATTTAAAAAGAAAAGCATTCAGTGACATGCTAAAATAACTTTTATCAGTATTTAACAGTACCATCCAAAATATCCAAAATCATTTCTCTTGTAAGATTAAGTAGCCTAGGAAAATAAAAGTTAAGTCCAAAATAATGAGAAAAATAAATTTATTATGTAAATTTATTTTTTAACTGTTGAACAAAAACACCAGACTGTTTTATAGGTTTTACTTTATGTGGCAAAGCTTTTTAAATGAACTTTTAAGTATCACTACTTTACTACAACTTTTAGTGTTATTATTAATATAAAACGCCTTATGCTAGAAATGATTTTTTTTAAATGTTCGGAAGTTATATCTATTCGTTTAATAAATTACATATCTCAGTTACCATTCTTCTTCTTCTTCGTGATTGCTATACACCTTTGATGTAATACTAACAGAGTTTCTAAAATCTTTCCCTATGAAGCCATTTTCTTTCCTTTCAAACCCTCCGGATCCGTAAGGTTTCGATCCGGCTAAGAACAAAGGTAGAGTTTGGTTCGAATCTTCAAGGACTTTTAACAAATCGGCGGACAAGGAGAAGTCGATGTCCGGGTCGTAAAATGAAGTGGCTTTACCTCTGTTGCCGACCCGGCCTGTTCTTCCGATCCTGTGCACGTACTCTTCAATGGTCGAAGGCAGATCGTAGTTGATAACGTGAGATACGTTTTTTATGTCTAAACCCCTGGCAGCTACAGCGGTGGCGACGAGAGTGGGTTTATAGCCGGTTTTAAAATCTAAAAGGGCTTGTTCTCTCTGGCTCTGCAACCTGTCTCCGTGGATGCTCGTCGTCGGTATGCCATTTTCTGAAAGGTAAGCTGCGATGAAATCCGCAGTTCTTTTCTGTTCGACGAACACAAGAGTGAGCTGCTTATCATCCACCTTCTCCCTTAATATCGAAGTCAGTTTTTCTTTTTTCTCAAATTTCGACACTTTGTGGATTATCTGTTCGACGTCGGAGGACGCTCCGCCGACAATCCCGACAGCCAGAAATAAATAATTGTGCATGTAGTCGGAGGCGAGTTTTTGAATCTCTTTTGGATAAGTCGCGGAGAATAAAAGAGTCTGCCTCTGCCCGACAGGCGTCATAGTCGGATGCTGCAGCATTTTTTTCACGCTGGGTAGAAAACCCATATCCAACATTCTATCCGCTTCATCTAGGACTAAAAACCGAAGAGAAGAAAACCCGAGTTTTTCCCTATCTACGAAATCGTTGACTCTGCCGGGAGTGCCCACAAGAACATGACAGCCCCTCATGAGATTGCCGAGCTGTCTGAACGTCGCAGTACCTCCGTACAAGACGCAAGTTTTGATAATCGAACCGTGTGCGAATTTTCTAGCTTCCAAATAAATCTGAACGGCAAGCTCTCTGGTCGGCGCAAGCACCAACACTTGCGGTTCGACATTGGACGAATTGACAATCAGCTCATACTGTTCAGCAAGCAAAATGTGTATTATCGGCACTAAATAAGCTGCCGTTTTGCCTGAACCTGTCTGCGCACAGGCCATGAGATCTCGACCATTTAGAATGATAGGAAAGGCATATTTCTGGACCGGTGTCGGCTTCCTGTATCCGGATTTGAGGAGGTTTTCTGCAACAATCGGCCTGAATCCGCATCTGTCGAACGTGCTGATAGGTCTCACGGGATTGTCCCCGCTCACTTTAACGCTGATGCTGTCGAATTTGTCGAAGTTAATACCGCAGGAGATGCCGCTTCCGAACATGACGGATTCGTCGTTGGAAGGCTCGGGTGGGATATAGCGTTCCTTCGGTTTCGGTTTCTCGCCCTCTCCTTCCGACGTCCTCTCCGGGGAAGTCTCTCTCACCCCAAACACCATTGCCTGCAAATGAAGATTAACGTAACTTATAATCGATTCCGATTAGATTCAGGGCTGAAGATAAAATGAGAAACAGAGAAGACAAAACGCTGAAAAACGATTAAATTAGTGAGGATACTTAGTAAAGCCCGTCCTCCAGCTCCTACATGAAGGGTCTGACTACTCCCACTACTGGGAGTGCCACAGGGCAATGTGCTAGAACCAATCTTTCTCCCCTTCTACAACTCTGACACAGACACTCTCTACCCTTCTTGTATTCTTTCCTGCAATTGCTTCGGTTCAGACGAATGATGCTTTCAATAAAACTTTGGCTTATAAAGAATTACGATACAACATTTTTATTCCATGTTCTTATTAAGGCCTCCCCTTAATATGATCGTTAATTACTAAAATATATATTTATTAATTTACTGTTCTATAAAAGATTATGAAAAAAGCTATCAGCCTTCAATTTATAATTTTCAATTAAAAACGATGATACGACCAAAACAATAGCTCAATAGCTAACAGAAGAATGTATAATAGGAGCATATCCTCTTTAGGTTAGGTATTGTTTTTACCCCCATTTACATTTTACATGGGGCGAGGGACGCGGCCTCCGAATTATCTGACTGGCCTAAGGCAAACTGCCGAAAATAAATTATCAACCTAGCGAGGACAGACAGACCAAGATTAAATTAAAGGTTGTCATCTCGCGAGCCATAGGAAGTCAACATTCAGCTTAGGATCAATAAAGAAGATTATCTAGAAGGATTAAAATTTAAATTAAATGACAAGAACGTCATAATGAGAGAATACCTCATGCTGACTCCTAAGGACAACAAGGAGTTATCTAAAGTTAAATAAAACATCTAGACAAAGCTGGGAAAAAGAAAAGATATAAAAAATCTCAAAAAATAAGCAACAATACAATACAACAAAATTCAGAGTCGGTTTATATACTCCAGTAGCTCTGGATCCATACAATTTTGAACGAATCATTCAATTTGTACTAAACATCAGAACATTAAACTCATATATCCTCAACTTATGAAATGGTAAATTAAAAAACCAAATTAAGCAGGTTTAGTGTGCAAAGTTACTCTTTACTGGGTGCCTGAACAATCAGAAATAGAGTAGGAAAAAAAGTGAATCCCTTCGCAAACAAAAAGGGCTGCTGTACCGCTGATAAGTCCTGAACCGTTTTGTAGTGTAAGGAACCTTACTATCGAGCATCTTTGGAGAAAAGACACTGTGAAAGTGAGGGAACAGTGGGATCCCCTTGGTAGTCAATCGCAAAAAATTGTGGAAATAGCAAAAAACGAAACGATATAATGCATCAAAGGAAGAAGGAAAAGACTCCATATGAACACTTGAGAGATGGCATCATCCAACAAGGTACGTGTGGATTTTGCCAAGTGGAAAAAGATATTCAAACGCCAGATCAATTCCAAATAATCATCACTGATTTTTAATTGAAAATTATATATTTGAAAGCTGATGGCTTTTTATCATGAACTTTTGTAAAACATAAACCTAATAAATATATATTTTAGTAATTTACGATCGATTTGGTCTTCCTACTTGCACTCTATATTTCTTACAATTTCAATTATTCTTTTTATCTAAGGTCTTGGTTGAATGTCACGAACGGGATACGAACCCACGACCTTCGGCTCAATACGCCGCTGCTCCAACCTTTTTCACTCTTTAACGTCTCAATCATCTGACTATTTCTGCCTTCCTACGTTATAGAATACACAGACCATCTTTTTAAGCGCATAAAACGGCGTATAAACTGACAAAATAACGCACAAATACTGAAGTTAGTGAGAAGCTAAGCTCGACTAATAAAACAAAAACACTAACAACAAAATAGACAGAAGAAAATCATCGGAAATGACCAAAATTCATCACCAAGAAACCTCAAGAAAAAATGGTATATAGCAAAGAATGTGTTGGAAAGAAGATTTAAGAAAAGAGGTATTTGACCTAAACAAAGTCTAGGGGCATATTATAAACTTGAAACCAAAATTGAGCATGCCAGATAACCAAACAGCCATCAGAGCATTGAACTCAAATATTATCAAGTCGAAATCTTATGGTTCTTTCTACAAGGTGAACACTTGGATGCTTTTGCAAAGAAAAATGATTGCTATACCGCTAGGTGAGCAGGACGTGACCAATTCCAAGCCGGGTTAAAAGGGCTATTCTTTTTCGGAAGATCTAGGTGAGGTGCAGGCTCCCCAGTTCATGTGAGCACATCAGAGCAACTAGAGGGATCATCCCGAGGAGTGGCCAAAAATCTATTTAAATGCTATTATATAGATTCATGATGTTCCTAAAATTAATGATAATTGAGTGACTGTCCTGCCTGATTCGATTGTATATGTCCTGGTCTCGGAGCTGGGTGCAATTCTTGGTATGATCCATCGATTTTTCTTCGTATAATTAAATGTAAATAATTGAAAAATAACTGGGTAAAGTATGTGGACTCTTTTGCTTAAAAAAGCCAAGCAAAATGTTACATTGAAAATGACAAAAAAGAGCAATAAATTTTTTAACTTAGTTCAGCTTGGTACAACGATATCAGACCGTCATTGCTCAAGAAGAATAAAAAATTATGGAATGAAAATGTTCAATAATCTGCATTCATCATACTCTGATGAAACACATTATTAATTGGTTTATATTTTCCGTATTCGGGTGGACGAACTAGAGGGTAACTTTCCTAACAGGTTTTCCTTGTTCTTACTCCTCATTGCTCTGCTGGAAAATTGTTCTTCAAATTTTGTTAGAGATCTATGACGACGGGTAATGTCCCGTTTAACTTACAAGTCGGTAAACGATTTAGAAAAGTCTTAACTTCTTTTCGGTGCGCTACGTTTTGGTCGGTCTAATTGGATAATGATAATCGACTACTTAACTAGAATAAATTAAGGCAATCGAATAACTTGAGTTGCTTACTTTTTACTTCTTTGACAACGGATGCTTCAAGTTGGTCGTTCTTCGGTAGAAAATGAACAATGGCGTATTTTACCACGTTTTTGTTCAAACGGTAAAAATAAGCTCAACAATAACAACAACAAAAAAATAAAAACTTAAAATAACAAAAATCAGATGATGACAAATGCAAAAATAATACCATGAATTCCTAGGAAGTAGACATATGTGTTTAAAATTGAACCCGGCTAATAAATATTGTAACTTTTTTAACAGAAACATAGTTCACGTAACATTAATAGTGAACTGTAAATTATACGGATTTTTTGTAGGGGAAATTTGGTATGCTAATTTATTGTGATAAATTTTCTTTAAAGAAAAAAATTCGCCGCATACACATAAGTTTTGTTACGTTTATTTTTTAAACATTGATATACGGATCATGTATATAATTTTCAGTACTAAGTTATTACTTCGACTGGCATTAAACTTATAAGTGTCCTCAAAAGGATCAGCTATATGATACATTTTTTGGCTAGATAGACCAAGATTTTTGCTTCCCAATTTTTATATTGCCGAGGAGTTGGCATGGGGGGTTAAAATTGGTAAAAGTAGGTAGGGTTAAGATTAGTTTGAGTTAGGTTAGGAATATATGGTTTAGGAGAAGCTGAGGAAGGGTGAAGTGACGTATTCATGATACCACGGATTTTCTTATATTAGGCGACATTAAACAGGCGACAGGAAAAATATTGGGCCAAATTCTGTCTCAATGTTTTTTGTACATTTTTCTCGTGTGTTGCAACAACATTATTTAATTGATTATAGAGATTCTTTTATGTTATTTGCTTTACAGTTTTGCGAGGAGGTTCTATAAAGCTGTAGCATCTATTTGGCTTATATATATATATATATATATATATGTTATGTTTCGAGTCCGAGTTTCTTCTTTTTTAAAAATAACTTTATTAAAAATAGATACAAATTCAACGATATGCCCTCGGTGAATTGTTTAAGTATCAAAAGAAGCTCAAAGACTGGTTTTACATTTTTCCCTGGCTCGCTTATCGCNAGAGAGAGAGAGAGAGAGAGAGAGAGAGAGAGAGAGAAAGAGAGAGAGAGAGTGAGAGAGAGAGAAAGAAAGAGAGAGAGAAATGAAAGAAAGGGAGAGAGGGATTCAAAGATACATAGAATATAAAAGGTACCGAAAGAGCGAAAAGAAAAGAGAGAGACAAGCGAGACAATTGTCTAAATTATTTGTGTTGTATTTTCTTTTTTTGTGTGTATTGAATCCTATTAAATTTACCAAATATTTTTCAATTAATTAATCTTTAATTAAGGTTTTGGTTGAGATAAAAAGTCAGTGTCACAAGCAGGATTCGAACCCACGACCTTCGGCTAAATAACCCGCTGCTCTACCACTTCAGCTATCGTGACTTCGATCCACTCGGACACTAACTTCCCTCTCAACACCACCTTTTGAATTTTCTCTTCTTTTTTTGCTATTGTTCAAATGTCAACTCTATTTGATTCTCGGCGACAAATAAAATGGCCACGGAGAGCTTTAGTGAAGTATATTTCATTTTGCTTATTACATTTATTAGGTTTCGTGGTCCGCTTGACCAAATAAATTCTTTTCAATTAATTAAACTGTAATTAATGTTTTGGTTGAGATAAAAAAATTAATAAATAAAATTCAAATGGTGAGTTTTGATGGGACGTTAGTGTCCGAGTGGATCGAAGTCACAATAGCTCAAGTGGTAGAGTAGCGGCGTATCTAGCTGAAGGTCGTGGGTTCGAATCCCGCTTGTAACACTGACTTTTTTATCTCAACCAAAACCTTAATTAAAGATTAATTAATTAAAAAGAATTTATTTGGTCAAGCAGACCACGAAACCTAATAAATGTAATTTACCAAATACATTGAACCCAACACTCATAATGATAGTTCGAAGAGGAGTTTCAAGGGAGACAAAATTTATTATAAGTTGTATAAAATTTTTTTATTTTAAATATTTTTATAAAGAACAAAAATTATTACTTTCCGGATATGAGTAGATGATTTTCTATAATCACAATATCTTTACCTAACAGCTCTAATGTCTGAACCCAATGTGTGACCCAGGAACGTCAATGTTTCAAAAAGGTCTAATTATTAGTAGTAATAAATAAATAATAAACAGCCAGAAAAATACTCAATTTAATGTAATATTCTTAATTGTTAATCCAAATATACATACATTTAACAACCCCCGTGTGGTCGTACCATTAATTTTACAAGGGTTGATCAACGAACTTCTTTTATTAAATGTCAAAAAACAGTCAGAATCGATTTTCTTTTCTTATGGTCTTTATTCCTACTATGAAGTATACAACTCTCATGTTATATTTGTGCGTACGTAGAAAAAGGGTACTACATTTGTTAAAACATTTTGAAAGGGAAAACATCTTAAAATATCATTATTAACAAACAGTTATAAAACTATGGCTCGTCCCGCAATTATAAATCATGTACGGTTTGCTCGGATTTTCATTTACAAATAAAAAAATATCACCAATAAATGACAAAAATCACTAATCCGTTCTGAAAGCTGTGCAAATAATGAGATTCAATATCGTACAAATCGGCGAGGTAATAATAATAATAATAATACAAGGGGGGCGTCGGTGGCCGCAAGGTTTAGTCTTTGACACGGCGCTCATCACTGTAAGGTAAAGGTCCCGGGTTCGAATCCAGCGGCCCTGCATTCGAACCCNAAAAAAAAAAAAAAAAAAAAAAAAAAAAAATAATAATAATAATAATACAAAGTGATAAGTAGCAATCAAGGAAAATAAGTAAAATTATTGTCATGTAAAGTTTTTTAAGTAGAGATTTAGCTTCGCGAGGGGACGAGATTAAAGATTAAAACTCCAAATAAGATCCGGATTACCCGACGTCAATTTCCCGGATGGGATTTGTTTGAGAAACGCCGCGGTTTTAACTGACGTACTTGTTCCATTCCTAAAACGGCTTGATTAACGGGCCACACTTAATTAATTTAATACATATTATATCTAATTTATCGGTTGTGTAATGTCATTGTGATGAATGCGGAAGGGGTTTTAAATTTTTGTGATTTCTACTTTTGAAACTATCGTAGGTTTTATCTTAGTTTAATTGAAGGCTAAATTTACATTTAATCTTTTTTATAATTACAATATATACGTATTTAACACCCGTAGTCACTTTCATGCCATTAGAAACATTCGGCTTTGATTTTCAATTTTGCTTCCATTCTTACTCGTCCGAAATATTTCTGAATATTTTTTATTTTATTCACAAAAATACAACGTTAATGATGTATCCCTGAATTTGAAAAATTATTAGAAAGTCTTTTTTTAATGTTTTTTTATTAAGTAATGGATGCCCCTGGATGACCAATGTTTACAATGGCTGGTCTTTTCATAATTTACATGATTACTATTTATTTATTTATTTTTTACTATTTATTTATTTATTAATCTAAGTGTAAAAAGCAAACAGTGAAACAACAACCCTTGTCAATGTAATGTATTTATTAGCGTGAGAGATGATGCGTGAAAGGACGTGGCTGTCGAGGAATATCGAGTACTCCACAGGTCCGTCAAACAATTTAGATTAGGATAGGTTAGTGTGTGAGTGGAACTTGTAAATACAGTTTGAACGTATTTATTAGTGTGAAAGACAGGAGGCCGCAAGATCACGATAATCTTCCGACCTCCAATTTAGTTGTAGTATAGGTTAGTAAATTAGTATGAATGTGAATTATGAAAATGTGTAAATATTATATCTATTTATTTTAATTTATCGCGTGTGGGAGGGTAACAACAAACAAGATAACGAATCCCCTTTTAGGTGAATTAGGTGAATCGGAAAGCAACAGTTGTTTAGTTGAGGCATAAGAAGACTCAGAAAAGAATATACACATAAGGTAGATAAGAAGAAAATGCGAGAAGGTTTATATGTGAGGCGCCGGCGATGACCCAGGTAGTTAGCCGGGGAAAAAAAAAATAAAATAAAATAATAACAACCCTTGTCGCTTATTGAATGGCATTTACAGATTTCATGGTAATAAAAAAAACTTGCTTCGACTTGGTTATAACATTGTCAGAATGTCATGCGTCTTCCAAACTTCTCTCTCTCTCTCTCTCTCTCTCTCTCTCTCTCTCTCTCTTTTCTCCCTTATCGCTCTTAATTCTCCTTATTTCTCTCTTTCCCCTCTACCTTTTTCTCTCTCTCTGTTTTCTCAGAGTTATTTCAGAGCTCTCGCTTTTTTTCTCCGTTTTTTTGTCACCTTTTCAGCTTATCGCTCTCTTCTATTTGTTTCTTTCTTTCTCTCTTTCTACTCCGTTTATTTTCTTACTCTATCTTTCTCTCACTTTCACTTTTGCATTTTTCTATCTTTATTGATTTTTCCTTGTTTCTCTTTCTCTTCCCATTGACGCGCTCTCTGTTTCTTCATTTCTTTTCTCTCTCTTACTATTTTTTTTATTTCTTTCACTACTGTCTAGTACAAATTAAAGAAATTGATGTAGAATTTTGCCATGTATTTTCAGTTTTCCAAGTCGTACCATGTAAAAACATCATGGGATCATGAATACGTAACCACATAAGTCCCTAACCCTAAATTCCCGTCCTAAATCAACCATTCCTAACTTAACCCTAAAACCTACTTAACTATATCATTTTTAACTTTACCCCACTTGTAAATTATGGCTGAGTTGAAAAATTAATGTCCGGAATCAGTACAGGACGTGGGTGTCCCACTTATGACACTAATTTTTAAACTCGACCATACTTTACGTAATATGTAATTAAGTAATTACTTTGTTAAAGAACAGCTAAAATCACATAATAGCTTAAACTAATAACTTAGACCATTTACTTTCCTATCACTAATTTTAATTTCCTTTGTTTCTTTTTCTCCTTTTCATTCTCTAAATCTTTGTATATCTCCCCCCTCACTCTCTTACTCTCCATCACATTTTCATTTTACCTTTCTCTCTATCTATCTCTATCTATCTATCTATTTATATCAACGTATCTCTAGCTAGCTTTCGATGATAATAAAACCTTATGATTCATTCAATCATTCCGTCTCGCTCTCTCTCTCTCTCTCTCTCTCTCTCTCTCTCTCTCTCTCTCTCTTTCCCTCTCTTCCTCCTTCCCTGTATCTATCTATCTATCTATCTCTGTATCAAAAACACACCAATAA